CGTGAGCAGCTGGAGCGGAGTTGGAGGAAGCGGCGGCCGCGGCGAGGGCGGCGGGCGACCGGGTCGGAGACGGCGAGCTCAAGATCCGGAGCGGCCGGCGGGTCGGCGCTGGGTCAGAGGCGCGTTGGAGCGGTGCGCGCAGGAGGCCGCCGCTGCAGCCCGGGCCCCGCAGAGGAAGGAAGCCGGCCGGCGGAGGAGGTAGGCGGCGGCAGCGGGTCCGGGTGTGTGTGCTCGTGAGGGGGAGGCGGTGCGTGCGCGCGCGGCTGCCGCCGCTCTCTTCCTGTCACCAGCAGCCGCTTCTCCTTCTGCAAAGCCGAGCCGCGGGAACGCCGGGCGGCCGCCGGCATCTCTCGCCTGCCGGGCAGCCGCGGGCCTCGCTCCTGGCCAGCGCCCTGCGTGCTCCCGGCCACCTCCTGACGCCCGTTTCCACGGTCCTCTTCCGAGCTGGTTCTGCACGCCGCCGGGCGCATTCGTCCCCGGAGTTGCAGGCGATCTCCGGCTCACCCCACCCCTTCGTCACCGCACACTTCTGAGGGTCCCCACTGTCGTCTTGCTGCAGTTTTCCGGGGCCCTTCACCGAAGGAGAGCACCCTGACCGCTGCCTTGGCGTTAGCGGGAAGGAGCGATGCCTTCCCCCGCGCCCTCCAGCTGCAACCAGGGTCGCCGCTCGGGCCCTTCCCCGGGGCGGGCGGGGCGCGGTGGTCCCCGGAGCTCACCCCAGCCCCCGCCCTCTGAAGTTTGCCTCCCTCCTCTTCCGGGGTGGGGGAAGTGTGCCGCGGGGCAGCGGGTCGCTGGGGCCCTAAGTCGGCGTCTAGTGCCGGCCGGGCCTGGGCAGGTTGTTGGAGGCATATGTAATGGGGTCTTGGAACCGCCCGGAAAACCAGTTTTTTGTCACGCGGGGCGAGACTGGAGGGACCTGCCCGGCAATATGGAGCCGGCTAGGGAGAGCAAGAGAGCGTGTAAGCCGGGGCTAAAATATCGTGGGGAATTGTCTGGAAACCACAGCTCTAACACTTCCCAAGGGCAGAAACTGCCCCGCAGATCACAAGACAAAGAGAACAGAAAAACCCAGGCCAACCACTCCAGTACAGAAATGTACTCTGGTAACCAGAATTCGAGCATGAAACGTAAGGGTGTGAGCGGAATGGCTGTTACGTGTTGAATGTAGAACATGTGTGAACTGGATTTGGGGAAATTCTAATGCTTCTCTGGGCGCTGTTAATATCGGAAAGGTCTCACTTCTGCCGTTAATCCCTGGTGGAGCTGCAGCGCTGTTGGTGTCTGAGTATGAGGTTACTCTTTATTGGGGGTTTTATGACTTGAGACGCGATAAGGTTTTTTTTTTTTTTTTTTTCCCCTCTTCTTTTCCTCTTAGTCAATGCAAAGTACGAATGGATAAAGCAGTTCCGGGTTTTGAATGCAGCATAAGATTGTCATTTCTGTGAGATGAGGGTCAAGTTTTAGTTGTTAGGCGGGACATTCACAAAGCTTATTGACCCAGGCTTTGTGTGGAATTGTATTTTAATATTTCATTAGCTTGCGTTGTGTTTTGCCAACTTTAAAGATGGTTAGGTATTAGAAAAGGTCAGAGTTAGGTAGACATGTTCATTTCTGAGGCAGGCTATCAGAGTATAACCCTCCCAGCTATAATTTTTTGGCAGATCACATTGTTCTTGAAATAAAGTTTATAAAAGCAATAGATGATAGTTTTCTTAGCATCAAAACTTGCTTAAACTTTGGGAAGCAAGTGTTTTGGTCATTACAAAGAAAATACCCTAAGAGTGATTTGCGGGGAGAGTCCCTCTAAAGTTTGGGAAGGTGTGGTGGGTTCGGAATTAAGGTTTGACCTGCAGAGGCCAGTGGAGGAGGCTCCCTGCCTTGCAGAGAGTCGTGTCACTGCTGGCCTTTTCAGCTTTTGTTTGCCAGTTGCAGATCAGCCCTAGAGAGTTATCCTTTCTCCATAGAAGTGTATAGATTGTTATGATTGGAAGAAAGTTTTATGTATCTCATATTGGCTTTCAAAGTCTTATGTGCATTTGTTTTTTAACTTTCATCTTGATTTGGGACCTGTTCTTGTCAGTTGCATGACAGAACTCTGCAATGTACACACAACTATCTGCTGTTTTATCTGCTTTTGTAAAATGGTGAGATCACTGTGTCTTTTCATGTCTGTGATGCTGACAGTCAATGTGAAAAAGCAGTTCACTTCCCATTGGTTAATTATATTGTCTTTCTTTAGCTATTTCTTGACATTTAAAATTGTTAATATCAGGAAATCTCACAGCATAAAATTGGTTTTGGGAAACAGAAGTGGTACAATAAGTTATAGATAGTACATATTTTGGTTATTGACAGTGGGGATGGTAGTATGCATTTATTTTCTGGAAATGTCACTTGCACCTAAGCTGCTTTTCGAAGGGTTTTGTATCTTAAATGTAAACCTATTCTACTTACCCAAATTTAATGTTGTTAAAAGTGTTGGCCATATCTTTAAATTTTCCCATGAATGCCATGTAATTTTTAGGTTAGTATTTTAGTCAAAGTTTATTTTTATTCTGAAGTAGTTCAGGGGAGTATTCTAAAAAGGCATCTAGTCTGAAAGATTGTTCACATGCTCATTAAAACAGGAACAGTTCTAGCGCAAGTTTTATTATGTTTGCATTTTGTGATTTGCAAAATGTGTTTTGTTGAATAAAGAGGTGAATGAGCAGATTGAAAAAAAGTGAACTTATCGTCAGGTAGAATATAGAAAGCTGAGACGATGTTTGCATGTGGGGTTTTGCTTTTAATTTTCTTGCATCTGAGGCTTACACAATGTGGAAGAAAATGAGAAGTACTTTTTTTAGTGTTATACATTTTAGACAGGCTCTCCACAATCTCCTTCTTTGGGAGGGCACCGAGATTTGCCAGTGAGGGCAGGAGAATGGAGCATCTTAGTGAAGCCCTCAGAAGATGAGAAAGTTGCTTAGCAATGGAAGGAAGGGATTATCAATTTAGTTTTTACCTAAGAAGGCATAATATTAATTATTTAACAGCCTTTAATCAGAAACTTAGGTCGTAACTAGTTTTTAAAATATTCGTATTGTTTATTGCTTTTTTTCCTGTCTCCTCCACCTACACCCTAATGTGATTACTTGCCATGATTCTGCCAACACTCTTGTTGGAATTATTTGCCTAAAAGAGTGGTGATTAAAGGCCATTTCATGTACATTATGCCAAATGAGCTGAAAAACAGACTATGTAATTACTCATAAACTTGTCTGTTTGGTTTATGTTAGTATTTTTTTTTTGAAAGGGTAGAATGAGTGTAGTATAACTTTTGCTAAGGAAAAAAAAATCCTACTGTAGAAACATCTTTGATTTTATCCTCCCAGCATTGTTTTCCTTAAAGTAAATCAAATACGTACCCACAGGCACCTGTAGTCAAAATAGTTTTCAGGTTAACGATCACCCCAGAGAGTATTGAAGTCACAGGAGTCTGGCCACAGCGTGAGGAGAGTCCACCAGTGGGTGGAGTGAGGTAATAAGCGAGGTGCCTAGGATGGTGTCCCTTCCACTTGCCTTCCTTGCTGGACCGCCAGGGATCCCGACCCAGGGCTCAGCCCCATGAGGATGCAGCTGCCTTCAGTCGCCAGAGGATTGCATTAGTGCTGTCATCTTTTCTCTTTGAGGGCAGCTAGGGAGCAGCCACCCTGTTGGAGAGGAGTCTTGTCCCCTAACTCCACCCCCTGCCTCACTGCCTCACACCATGCTCTCACACACTCCTGGCCCCTCCCAGGCCTCCTTTGCCCTGACATCTGCAGAGCCGTGCTCTACCGCAGGTAGGGAGAGAACTTGGTGGCAAAGTCCACGTGCAGCCGTTATCTGTCTGTGTGTCTGTCTCCTCTGGAAAGGAGTCAAGGAGACAGCAGAGTGTTATTTTGGCTAGCTTCAGGGTTCACTTAGAACAGTTTGCAGCATTTAGAGGCAATGCAAAAGCAAATTCCTGGCAAATGTTCCTGTTTTAAGTTTGAATTGTATACATGGCAGTAAGTGGCATTCAATACTAATAGTAATCACAGTAGTTATAACAGTAATAACATTATACTGTAATTTACTAGCTCTGTACCTTCAGGCGAAGTATTTAACTCCTCTGTGCTTGTTTTCTTTGTTTTCATCAGTAAAATGGAGATAATAATTGTACCCAAGGTGGTTGTAAGGATTAAATGAGTTGATATATGTAAAACTCTAAGAACTATGCCTGGCCTGTCATAAGCACTGTCGGTGTTAATTATATTAAGCTGTAATTATCACGCATGGAGCTAAGTGCTTTAAATATGTAATTTCATTTAATCTCGTACTAACCCTATGAGATACAGGTTTGCTTATTGTATCTGTGTCACAGATGATAAAATTGTGCCACGGAGAGGTTTAAGTAACTTGCCTAAGGTTACAGATCTAGGCCCTGGTGGGCACAGCTGCCTGAGCCTGAAGCTCAGTGCTTTTGCATACTTTCTGGTTAAGAATTTTACAAAATAGCATTGTTTTTTCACAGGAGGAAGGACTTTAGATCATCTACTTCAGGGCCTCTGCACCGTGATGATGGAGACAACTGGAATGGTCAACCCCACCGCCTTTTCTGGGTGATAGGATCTGTTTCGTAGGCCCTGGAAGCCACAGCCTGAGCACTGGCGTTGTCCTTCCTCCCACGTCCCAGTGGTGACCACTGAGCCTTACAGCTGCCTCCGGCTGGGCCTGGGTCTCTCTCCTTTGCTTCTCCTGCAGGGCTCGGGCACCACCCCATCACTGCTTTCTGGAGAGCCCTGCCTCCTTGTCATTTCACCTGGACTTGTCCTGTCTCCCTCGTACCCTGCAGCCCTGAAACGGCTTGTGGGCAGGAATTGTGGCCTAGACACCCAGCTTCCGCACAGTGCAGACCCAGCCCTGAGCATGGCAGCTGGCAGCACATTCTGGTTACTTGGTTGGTTTAAAAATGAATGGAGATATGTGAGTGTCTGTGACTTTGGGCTTCATCCGAGCCCTTCATTATTATTTTAATTGAGGTGAAATTCACGTACCATAAAATTTACCCTGAGCCCATCATTTTAAATTGAAATTCATTATGTTTACTAGGAAATTTTAACTTTGTTCAATTTGATTTTTGTGATTTCCAGGACACCATATTTGGAAGGTAAAAGATTTTTAAATAATGATTTTTTAAAGAAGACTGTGTGAATTTAGGTGGGGAGCATGCCCTAGACTCAGAGCTATCACACTGAAGGTGGAGAGGTGGAATGTAGGGAGGCATGACTGGGGGCCCAGGAACCCCTCCATAGCCTTCTCAGCTGGACTGAAGACCCATTTTGTGCTGGGACCCAGTGCCAAACTGCTGATTTCATCTCAGGATAGAATCATATGATTAGGATATATTCTTGATTTATTTAAAGTGATTTAAAAATATCCTTTATTCCTGCCTCCCCACCAAGTTTGCTAAATCCTTGTCCTTTGTAAAAGGGGAATGAGTAGGTCAACAAAGTCAGAGGACTTTTTTCAAAGAATGTTGTTTGGTTCTTGGCCAGAATGCCTGTGGGTTAGAGGGTTAAATTGAAATTTTACTTTTAAGCAGTTGTACATTAAGAAGTCATGGATTACTACTTGTCGGGCATTAGAAACAACTTTATTTTGAGGAACAGAATGAGAACTGCTCAGTATATTAGCAGAGAGAGAAAATATCTTTCCAGTTAATGATATTGCAGGAATTCTTTAAAAGGATTGAAAGACTGGAACAAAATATTTCTCGTTAAGGAAATTGTGAACTGTTGCATATGGTGTTATATATAAGAGTAAGTTAATTTGTTATTTGTTCACAGGACTCCTTTATACTTTTTGTTACAGTAAGTTACATATGCACTGACTTGGAGCCTATATCATATAACTGCCTTGGTTATTTGAAAGCATTAAATTATGCATGGTGGATATTATCCACATAATCATTCACAGAGTAAAGGTTTTTATATTGGAGCTGGGTGGAAATAGTTCCGTGTAGCCAAAGAGATAAGTATATGTAGCCAAAGAGATTGGAGGTGCAATCTTGTGAACCTGGGCAACATATATCCTGTCGATTTGGATAGTTTGGGCTCCAAATCGATCTCAGGAGGGTTACACAGCACTAATAATGCCTCAGGCTGCTGAGTCTTCTGCAGTCCTGGGGAGAATTTGAAGTGAGCGAAAAGAGAACTTGCCAGTCCTCTAGATGGGATAGCCCTTGTGCCTGTGGATTGATGCTTCACATATCCCTCTAAGGTGGAGCTAAGTTGTTAGAAATTGTGCAGGGAGGGGCCTGGGATAGCAGCAGGGAGCATAGATGCCAAGAAGGATACAGGTGGCAGAAGCTTAAGCTCAGAGAGCAGAAATGGGCAGGATTCCAGAAGTGGGCAACCTTTCAGAAGTGATGTGCCAAGTATTCTTTTATTCACTGGTTTATGGACTTCTTTGGCAAGGGTGCATTTTAATGGAGTCTCTTTGGAAGAAAATTTCCATGGTCCAAGATGCTGGGTCTTGGAACTGCTGCTGAGTTACAATGACTTCTTTCTGTGCAGGTGTATTTGTGCAAGAGCCGTGAACACTATCAGTAAGGCTGGTGTCTCAGAGAGTAAAAAGCACACATTCAAGGTTAAATCTGAGAGGTCAGAGTGTGCAGGCCAGGAATATGCATCACTGACCCCATGGGCATATCTGGACTGTCCTTGGTCATCGAAGCGAGTTGAGTTGGGGAAGTAGGTTCTAGTGGTGGTAAAGTGGAGGCTCTGGAGCCAGACTGCCTGGGTCTGAATTCTGCTTCCACCACTCAATTGCTGCGTGTTATTATGGTCCAGATACTAAGCTCTGCACGTCAGTTTTCTCCTTTGTAAGGTGAGAATATTGATAGTACCTGTCTCATGGTTATCTTGAGTATTGAACGTGTTAATACATATATAGCTCGCAATAAATGTTAGATCATGATGATGATTGAATGGGTTAATACACATAGAGCTTCCAGTAAGTATGAGATGAGGAGGAAGAGGGTTGAATGGGTTAATACACGTATAGCTTCCAGTAAGTATTAGATGATGACCACGATGACGGTGACAGTCATTAAAATGGGCATGGCAGTCAGGAGAAAGTGTATGTGTGCAGTAGGGTAGAGGTGCCTGTCTCCTCTCCCTAGCCAAGGCCTCTCTGTACCTCGCCACCCAAATGACTTGTCAGCTCTCCCTCTTACAACATTGCTTTCCAACCACTTAATTGGCACTGAATCATGGCCGACTTTGAATTGTTTTGATTGATCTTCCTGGCCTTGATTGTGGAGTTCCAGAAGACAGGTATGGTGTGTTTTACTTACAATCCTAGAGTCACAGAAGATCTGGGGTTTTTTTAATCTGACGAGGGCTCGGAGTTCTGCACAGGATTCTTTTTACACAGAAAGTTAGATTCTTCTCACAGATGGTGAGGGAGGGGCCATTTGCAGAGACATAGAGGTCTCTGGCACATATGGCAGAGATGGCTACTCTAGAGTCTGGCCTTGTTAGAGTCATCGGGTTTCTCAGGGCTCTTTTTCTCTTTGCACAGATTAAGCCTCAGGCAGACCTAAGCCCAGTTTTCAGGTTTGTCAAACCTTCACCAGACATGGAGCCTTTTCTTACTCCAGTGTCCCCTGGTGAGAAACATGCATAGCTACATCGGTATGCTGTGAGCAGGGGCTTGGTGGTTGCTGAGGGCTGCGTAGGGGAGAGAGAGAGAGAATGAGAGAGAGACCATTATACTCCCATTCTGTCAGGAATCTCACCAAACTGGCCCACTGGGTTGTGGAAATAGAGGAAGCCATAAGCAGCAGCTGGCGGAAAGGTCCACCCAGCCTACTGGTTGAGGAGTTTTTTTCCAACAAGACATACATTGCCAGGAAAAGCTAACAAAAATTTCAAGACAGATTTGGAGGAATTAAATTATTCTTAGGCATATTGCCTGGTTTCCAGGCATTTAGGGATATGTAAATTTTCATGTTCTTTAGAGTTCTGTGTCTCATTTGTACAGAGTACGTTAGTACTAAAAATGAGATTTGCTAGTTCTACATTTTTGTGTGAATTTATGCAGTGAATATTTAATTTGATTCTGGATCTGTCAAAAGGAGAGGCTGTCTTCAAACATAATATAGTTTATTTTTCTCATACGTTCTGCTGGTTGCTTTAATTTTTTCTGACAACTGAAACACAAAGTAGAATACTATCCCAAATTAATATTCTTGCTTATACAAAGGTTTCCAGTGTTTGTTTTTGCTTCTTTTAATATGTAGCTCTCCTAAGAGTGTTATTGTATTACAGCTAAGAGCCTTTTACCATGTACAGTTGAATACTTTACACTTCTGAATGCCAACATAACAATTAATCTGTGATTAGATTTTGCTTCTTAAAATGCCTACACTGAAGAGGGCCTGTAATATTAGACTTCTAAAGGATTCCACTCTTTAAGACTTATAAAAGCTCTCTTTGATATAGCACACTGAAGTTGTGTGGCTATTGTTTTTATTGCTTTATTGTTCCTCCAGCTTAACTGAAGCCTTTAGGTTGCTTTTACTCTTTATAATGAAGATAACGTTGAGGAATGAGTGGAGGGCAGGGTGTGCGCGTGTGCACACTGTTCTAGGGCCATCCGTGCTCTGACTTACTAGCTCTCAAACTAGCCAGTCTTTGACTCTCTAGTTCCTCTGCCTCCACTAGCTTAAAAAAAAAAGGAGAAGAAAATGCCTTTCATTTCCTATTTCCCCCTCCTCTAAATTATCTTCATAGAGTAATCTGCAACAAGCATCACTATTTCCTCTCTAGTTCCTTAACTCCTTAAATTCTAGTTCGCATCCTCAATACTACTAGACTGGAGTCTGCTTGCTCAAAAGTCAGTGATGATTCCACAGTGGACAGAGCCCAAATTACCTAGCCTGGCCTCAGTTTCCCCCTTCGGGAGGCCTCTGCAGGATTTAGTCTTAGGGATCACCTTTTCCTCCCTGAACCCTCTTATCCCTTGTTTCCAGGACATTGCATTGTCTCCAAGCCTTGACTTTCCCTTCTCAGTTGCATTCACTGAGCCTTGGTGTTTGGTGCTTTGATCGTTTTTTTAACTTTGAACGTTTTCCCTTGTGAGCGCCTCCATGCCATTGAGTTCAGCCTTGCCTAGTTTGCAGCTGATTACTGAATCTCGAGTGTGTTCCCTCTCGTGAATCACAGGCCAGGTTTTAACCACCCACCAGCACACTTGTATTTATATGCCCAGCATCACTGTGAGCCCATCAGGCGTCCTGGCTTCCCTTTGCCTGATGTTGGTAGCTCAATTCTTCTCATTAACTCAGGATCAGGCACCTTTTGCTCCTCTCTTGGCTTGACCCGTCTTTCAGCACCGCTACATCCACACGTGCTTCCTGTGCAGTGTCTCTTACTTCAGTCCTCCCCTTTCCCTACCCTCTGCTGCCACCTTGGTTCATGCCCTCCTGGCCACTTGCCCAGACCGCTGCAGTACACCTTTCATAGCTTTCCTCACCTCTTCTGTCTCCACGCTAGTCCCTCCTACACAACACGTTTGGATTGAGATCCCTGATCCTGTTGCTCCCCTTTCTCCAAGCTTTTCAATTGTGGACTGCATTACTCACCAAGTCAACACGGGCATGCATGATGTCGGATGACCCCTGTCTAACTCGGTCCCTTGCTCCCTGTTTGGCTGCAGATGCATTGGATTTCCTGTTCCAACTCTCCCCAGAATATGATATTTGCTTAGTCACATCTGCACCTAAGATCATGCCACACATTCCACTCTGTCTTCGGATTCCTGTGTTTAGATGTGGTCTGTCCCTCAGTTGAACCCCCTAGCGTTTAGTCTCTGCCTCTCTTATGGCATTTACCTAGTGTAATGGTTCTTTCTGTGCCAGACATGCCATGTGCCAACACCCATTACACCCGCTGCTTAGTGTTCTTAGAAAGCAGGGACTGTCTTACTAATCTTGGTTGTGTAGATGCTGTCGAGCGATAGCACTCTGCCCCGTGTGTGTCCGCAAAATTAAGTACTTGTTGAATAGAAGTAGAAATTCAAATTCACACAGATGACGAAATGCAATGTTCATTCATAAGTCTTGTTTTTCCTTTGCTAGGCGCAGCTCGCGAGTGGAGTGGAACAGTAACATCAGACGACAGATGGACAGTGTGACAAGAGTGTCGGAAAGGATTGGGCCTCGCTGTGAGAGTCAGTCTGGAGTCAAAGTGTTGACAAGTTGCTGAAGAGGAAGCCAGGGGGACGACTGTGGCCCAAAGAGGAAGTGCAGCCCTGACTGCAGTCACACCGTTGATGGAGGACAGATGGACGGCCGGATGGCCAGTCACCTCTCCTCTTAAACCTTTGGAGAGTTGTCCTTTGTCTTCTGCTGGACACATACTAGGAATCTTAACACACTCTCTGAATTCACTTTCCATAGAAACGTAAAATTAGACTGCTGTGTATAACCGGACTCATCTGTTGCATGCTCACAGATTCGCAGACATGAGTGCCGAGGGGTACCAGTACAGAGCGCTCTATGATTATAAGAAGGAACGAGAAGAAGATATTGACTTGCACTTGGGTGACATATTGACTGTGAACAAAGGGTCCTTACTAGCTCTTGGATTCAGTGATGGACAGGAAGCCAGGCCTGAAGAAATTGGCTGGTTAAATGGCTATAATGAAACCACGGGGGAAAGGGGGGACTTTCCAGGAACTTATGTAGAATATATTGGAAGGAAAAAAATCTCGCCCCCCACACCAAAGCCCCGGCCGCCTCGACCCCTTCCCGTTGCACCAGGTTCTTCGAAAACTGAAGCAGACAGTGAGCAACAAGGTCGGTATTGATGAATGATTGCTTAATGACTCTTTTTTTTTTTTTTAAAGGAAAAGTCTTAGATTTGGGTTGGGCTATAATACGCTGAACAGAAGTAATTTTGGCAACTTTACTTGAATTTACATATGGTGCATAAAAGCTTATTCAATCATTACATGGCTAGAAATCTGTGTTTGTGGGGTGGGGAACTGTTATAAAAATAGGGAGATGGTGTCTGAGAACCTGTGTAGTGAGTGTCCTTATACACTGTTATCATAGTTGCCATTGAGTTAAACGTCTGTTGCATTCTTCTTGTTATAATTGGTATTAACATAAATAATCATTTTGGAAGAGTAGAGAGTAAGTCTAATATAAGTATATTTAACATTAATAAGATTTGTATTGGAAAAATGTAGAAAGTAATAAAATGACGACAGAACTTGGCAGAGAAGAAACCATTGTTTTCATAACCTGGTATCTACCTCTTGGTCTCCTCTCCAGGAACTGGGGCTGAAGCTAAAGGTCAGTCCTGTAGTTAACAGAGATGTAGAGGGACTTCTCATCCTTCACGGGCAGTGTCGTCTGTAGCGTTAATGCCTGTAGTGTGCTTGGCTTTCATGAGGAAAAGAAAAAAATCACTGAATACTTTTCTTCAGTGGAAACCACCCTGATTCAGAAACCACTCATTGTTTATTGGAGATGGTCCACACTCAAGCTTTGTGCACAGCAGTTCATTTAAGGTTTCTCTTCTATGCAGTTTCATACCGAGACAAGCCTTTTGCTCAGCTTTGCTATCAACTTTGTCAAAGAATTTGTTTCTTCCCTAGTAAATCTCAAGCATTTTTTTCCTTGTGTAACCTTTTTTACTCAAACACTGAGAAAGGTATGTTTGAGAGTAGTGGACTGGACTGCGGTGGTTCCATGCTGAGCAGCACTGACTGAGGCATCCCCATGCATTTCTGGAAGAGGTTCTGATACGATTATAGCTTCTTTAGTGTTGGCTGATTCTAGCACAAATGAATGAGGTAGCTAGAATAGAGACGCAGAATGCAAGGGGGAGTAGCTGCCTTTAGCGTTGGGTGATAAAAGGATTGCGAATATTTTGTAAAAGTCAAAGAATTTACTAAGGATACCTGAAGGGAAGTGCTTTTCCTTCCCCTTCCCGACCCAAAAGGGATACTTGTTTCATAAATATTATACTGTACTTTATAAATAATATCCAAGAAATATCTTTTACTATACAGTTCAAAAGCAAAAGTTAGTTTTTCTTTGCAGGTGAATCAGAAAACCTCGACTCTGCACATATAGATGTAATTTTGTCAACCGTTGTGTTTCTTGTATATTTTCACTTAGCAGATTGAAGGTATATATATAATTGTTTTTTTCCCACCAAACTACATTTTTTTATTATTTTTTTATTGATGTCATAATCGTTTATAACATTGAGGTTTCAGTTATACCTTATTATTTGTCAGTTACCGTGTAAATGTGCCCCATCACCCCTTGTGCCCCCCCAATTCTCTTCCCCCTGATAACCACCAAACTGTCCAAACTACATATTTTTAGTTTGACTTTTTATTTTTTAAGTTAGAAACACTTCCTTGAGTAGACTAATTCAAAAGGAAAAATGATTTAATTTGTCCCAGAATACAAAAGATTACAGAATCATGAAAATACCTGAATTGGATTTGAGAAGATTATTTAAAAGGTGGAAAGAGGGTACTTTGTCAACATTAGTGACAACAAGATTTTGTAAAAATAATTTCTAAACAAAATTGTATTTGATAACTGTTGTCAAGTGTAATTTCATTTGGATACAGAAAAGCAAATCTTTCCTTATAAGAAGGATGATTTTCTCTTTTTAGGTCCTAAACTATTTTATAAGGCGTTCTCCCTCATGTAATGTGGTGACAATTGAGATTTTTAACAGCTTTTTATTTTTCTTTTTAATACATGGAAAGGTAGAGTAAAAGGAAATTTTTTAGCAGAATTCAAGAAAGATACCTGTGATAATGTGCATTGAAGTATTAGAGCAGGCCTGAATATAAATGAGAAATTAGAAATAATTGAAGGTTGAAAAGGCAGGTGTGAGGGGTTGGGTGGGGAATATAGCACTAAACATGAGATTTTTTAGAAACGTTAGTCTTATATTCTTATTTAAATGATTCCTATGAAAGAAGAATTCAGTAGCTCCTACTGTTGTGTGTCAGATTGTTATGGAAAGTAGTTGTAAGGATAAATTTATATGTTAGAACCTAAGGGACTCTGATTTTTCTTTCTAAGTGTGTACTTGAAAAGCTTTTGCAGTGACTGTGTGCAGGCAAGAAAGGATAGTTCTTTTTTCTTACTGTAACTGAATTCTTTAGCCCCCCTTTTTTTTTGACTTCCCCCACCTGACTTAGCCTGTTTTTTGTTCTTGACTGTCTTTATTTTATTTAAAAGGTTACCCCTGAGGTCTAAGGCCTAAATGCAGGTCTCTGGTTAAGACAATGTCGTGTGGACATTGGCCCAGCCCTGTAAGGGCCGTGGGGTGAATGCAGGGTGCTGAACCTGCCTGTGCTCCCAGTATCCTGCTCTCACCGACTTCTCTCTTTTTAAAAGAAGGTTGTCATTAGACTCTGGCCAAAAGTGGACTCTGTGTGAGAGGATCTTCCTTCTATTACAGAACTCACTTTTCCACTTTCCTTGTATGTTCCTGGAAATAAAGCTGTGAAGTTTAACTTTTAGGGGTAAAGAGAGTCAAAAACTCCTTTGAAAGTCTGATAAACAGCTCCTCTCAGGAAAATGCACTTTCTGCCAGTACATTTTGCATATGGCTTTCTTAGGACACCCTAGCCTATAGATTGAATTGAATTTGTCTATTGGACAATCTTGCATTTATTGGAATTGACGTTGTTCAGTAAACATGAACTGCATCCTTATTTTATGTCAGGAAGCAGGGATGAAAGATGAAATCAAGGCTCGATAGAGAGCGCATGTCTCCTGATGCCCTCTCCTCCCCCCTGCCCCCTCAGGACTCTACTTTTCCCTCCACTTGGACAGCTCTTCCTCAGACATCCCTTTGGCTGACCCACTCTCACCTCTTTGCTTGAATCTTCTCATGGAGGCTGGCTCTGCTCACCTCATTTCATGTGGCAACCTGCCCCTCTGCTTCTGCAAAGCATTTCTTACCTAACCTACTATAGAATGTACTCACCACCTTGATTGTTTATTGTCTCTTCCCTCTGGTGGATTGTAAGCTCCTTGAGGGCGGGGATCTTGGTGGTCCCTCCATTATCTCAAGTCTCTAGAACAATGCGGTAGGTTCTCAGCAAGTGGATAAGTGCTTGTTGTTGAAGCTCATCCTCTAGCTATTTCACATCCTGCATGACTTTTGAAATTAGCCATGTGCTTTGTATGTGTTGTGCAGGCACAAGGCTATCGCAGCCCTTCCTGTTGGAAATCATGGTTTGTTATTCGCATCTGAAGAATCTTGCAGCCTTGGCCTTGGCCGTTGCATGCTGTGTCTCCAGAAATGTTATTTTCCACCCCAGTGCTTAGGACAGGTAGTTCTGCTGGTGGGAAAATGTGTTACAACTGGTAGTGCCTTCAGTCAGCCACTTGAGCAAAGTGAGTAGAAGATGTGTCAAGATTAGCAAATGTCCTCCGGCACAAATTTAATGCCCTCTCCCTCCTTTTGTCTCCTTTCATCTGCATGGGGGCTGAAATTGCCAATATGAGCGCCACATTTCATTTTGCCACAACCCAGTGAAGCCCCATTTTACTTTCTTTGGAGAGAGCTTCTTCCACGTTCTGTACATGTGAAGGGTGTGATGGGTGTGCAGAATAGGCATTACGTGCTCCTTAGGAGAGGCATGCTCCTTTCAGGAAAGGAATGGAGGGGCGATACTCTCGTACATGCCATATTTCCCCTGTATGCAAGGAAATGAGTCATTGGGGGGAGTGGTTTGATCAGGGAATGAAAATGTATTGCTTTCTTTCATAAGTAAGCTGTCCAGTGGGGCTGTTTCTCAAGACACTATTTTGAGATCCCTTAATTTAAGTCACGCTAATGCAGAATATGTAGACTGGTGAGATTCTATGACCATGTTAGTTTGTACAGAACGTTGAAACCTGCTCACTTGAGAGATCACTATGGATCTGAGTTCATACCCACCTCCATCCCCCTGTCCACACACTCCCACTTTGGACTCTGAGGGTAGGTCTCAGGTCCCAGCTGGTTCCACATATAAAACATGAAGCACACATTTGGTGTGGACTATTTTACGTTTTGATCAAAATTCTTTTTAAACAGAAAAAGAAAAAAGCCTACAGTTTGCGTTTGCTTTCATAGTTTCCCCAGCCATGTTATTTTTAAACATTTTTCACACTCAGCATTTGAGTGTCCCTCCATGGTTGTTGTTCCCCATCTAGAAAGCAAGGCTGTAATAAATCACATAAATTGACTGCACTGCACAGAGGTCACAGAAGTTAGCGACCTGATCCCAAATTACACACCTTTGCTGAGCCCATGGTCATAACATATCGCTGTTATTCACAGAAATATTACCGGTAAAAGTATTATGTTTTGCTTCACAAATTTCTGCCTGTATGGATTCTGTTATAGTTCAGAATTTGCCTTGTCATAACTTCTGTCACCTTTTCTCCTACTTACTTGGGACTTTGCTGTGAAAGTTGGAGGATTGTCTTGCTAAACGCCCCTGAACGATGGGGTAAGACATCTGACTTTTGGTGCTGACTGCCCGTTCTGCGTTGACTACTCTGCTTTTGTGAGAAAGCAGGCCTGGTGACAGGATATTTGAAGATATAAGGGGCTTTGAAGCCCCTGTCTCACTTCTGACCAGCCAGAAAAATTAATCAGAACACTAGAGATTTTTGCGCAGGTGTAAAAATTTACGTGTTTGCCCTTTGTGATTTAGTACAAAAATGGAATACATTTCTGAAAAATGTAATCAATATGGTTGATTAAATAGTAGGTCTGGAGAAAACAAATGTGATAATTATTTTTGATAAAATCAGAT